TGGAAGATTAATTGATAAGCTAAGCCAAATTAAGCCAGCTTGCAAGCTAATTTATTCAGTTTGCATTAAATATCTCAAAATAAAATTCTGTTGAAAAAAAATGTTTTCCATTAAGAGAAACATTTTAAAATGATTCCTTTTGAGAGAAATATTTCTAGAATGATTCCTTGCAAGAAAAACATTTTCAGAATAATTTCTCTGAGAAAAACATTTCTAGAATAATTCTTTTTTAGAGAAATATTTTCAGAATGATTCTTTTCGAGAGATACGTTTTCAGAATAATTTCCTTTAAGAGAAATGTTTTCAGAATGATTTTTATTGAGAGAAATGTTTTCAGAATGATTTCTTTTGAGAAAAACATTTCTGAACGCTTCTTTTCAAAAGTAACATTTTCAGAGTGATTTTCTTGAAGGATTTTATTTCTGAAACATTTTCTTTGAAGGATTTCATTTTCAAAATAATTTCTTTAAAGAATTTCATTTCTGGAATGATTTTCTTGAAGGATTTCATTTTTAAAACAATTTTCTTAAAGGATTTTATTTTTGGAACGATTTCTTTGAAGAATTTTATTTCCAGAATGATTTTCTTAAAGAAATTTACTTTTAGAGGAATTTTCTTAAAGGAAATTGTCTTTGTGACTTTTTCTTTAAAGAAATCGCATTCAGAATTAAAATCCTTTATAGAAATTACTCTGAAAGTGAATTCCTTTAAAGAAATTCATCCTCAAATGCATTTTTTTTAAGAAAATATTGCTAGATGCATTTTTCTTCAAAGAAGATATCATCAGATTCATTTTTCTTCAAGTAAAAGTTATCAGGTTTATTTTCTTTAAAGAAAATATCATTAAAGTCATTTTTCTTTAAGTAAATATCATCAGAGCATTTTTTTTTCAAAGAAAATCTCCTTTGAATTTATTTATTTTAAAGAAAAATGCAAGTCAATGAGCTGAGCTGCGATATGAGCCAAACTATAGCATAAGTCAACTTTCTGACTTATAACTCATTTTATAGTGATTCAAGCTGAGTTTTAACAAGCTAGCTCATTTGATTTGCAAATGGCTCAGCTTATTATGAAGTTCTAATTATTAATTTTTTTAATATTTTTTAAAATAAATAAAATAAAATAAAATAAATAATAAAAAAAAGAATCAATTAATAAATACAAAAATACATATAAAAAAAATTTAAAAAAAATAAAATTAAAGTCTATTTAATCAAAATCTAAAAATATCAAAAAACTAAAAATATAGAAAAATGAAAAATGTAATTAAGGTTGCTTGTCTAAACTTATTTTAGATTTGGCAAAATGTCTAAACTATAGTTTTACTAAATTTTTACTAAGGTTTTGATATAGTTTCGCATTTTTATAAGTTTTAATATAATTTTACCTTTTTCAGAATTTTGCAGATTTTTTAATAAGCTTTTAATATAATTTCGCTAAATTTTATCTTTTTTCATTTAGATGATTTGCAAAATCTCTAGGTTTTATTTAGCAACCTTAAATGTAATATAAAAATATTTAATTTTAGATTCAAATTAATTTTTAATATTTAAAACTAATTCATATTTAAAATAATTTTTAATATTTAATATTCAAAATTATTTTGATATTTGTTTGAAATTATTTTAAAATCTTTTAAATATTTAAATACAATTTATATTTCAAATAAAAACTCTAGCTTATTCTCTTATTTATGTAGCATATTAAACTATATGTAATCTTTGTTAGATTATATGTTATTCTTTTACCAAATTAATAAATAGTAAATTATCTATTAAAATTTATGATTTAATAACAGATTATTGAATATTTTCATTTTTTAAATTAATAATTATAAATATTTTTAGTAAGTAATATTTAATATTTTATTATAAATTATATATACTATATATTCAAAATACTTTTTTTAATTAATAATTAAATATAAATATATAAATTTATTTATAAAGTTAAAATATAAAAGACTAAAAATATTTAAGAGTTTTACTTAAAAATATAACTATTTTAATAAATTATTATTTTAAAAATTATGAATTATAATTTTTTAAATAAAATTTTTTTTTTAAAAAATTCATATTAAAAAATCCTAAAAAAAAATTAAAAATAGATACAATACAATCATATAAAGTTTTAATAAATAAAGAATTAAATATATACTGTAGGTATTTTACAGTAAAAAAGGAAAAAACTATTAAAACAATTTTTTTTTACTTTATAAGCTAAGTATTATTTTTTTTAGTAAAATAAATACAGATTTAACAATAACTTAAAAAAAAATTTTTTCTTTGGTAGTTTTCACCCTTTCTATTGCAAAACATCTATATTTTAATTTATAATATTATATTTTCTAATAAATTTAAAAGATTATTAAAAAGATTTTTTTATAAATTTACTTTTTAAAAAATTTGTATGATATAATATTTATAATTTATTGATTAAATAATTTAAAGATATAAAAAGTATTATTTAAAAAATTTAATAAAAAAATTGATTAGGAATAATTGAAAAAAATTGATTTATTTTTAAAATATATTTTATTAGATATTAAAAGCAAAGCTTGTATTTAATGCAAATATTTATATAATCTTGGTATTTTTTTTTGATATATAACAAATAAATCAGGTAATTTAATCCATAATATTAAAAGAATATTATATTATAATAAAGTAATTGGTAAAAAAAATTGATATTGTCATATGATATATCTAGAAGAACATTTAATACTTTTTAATCAATATTTGATGCTAATACTAATTTCAAGTTATAGTTTATCAGCTGAAGGGTGTAACTATTTTAAAAAAACTTAAGACAAAAAAAAAAGAAAGTTCTCAATTTAGTTATCAAGATTAACTGAAACTACAAAACTGATGCTTATAATAATAATAACAAAGTACAAGAAGTATGTTATTATATTTGATTATTTTTATCTTGAAATTTTACATAATGACTTTAATTTACATTATATAGTTATCTAATGGATTTAATAATGCTTCACAATTAATGAATAAGAATATTCCAATTCCAATATAAATAAGAATAACAGAAAAGATAAATCAATTGTTATTAAGTAATAATTGTATTATATATATTTAATAAATATTGTATAATAAAAAATTGCCTGATACATGATTTACTATAGTCAATGTAAATTATAAGAAAATTACGGGATACGTTGATTTTGAGAGAAGGACTTCTCACTTTCGATGAATTGGATCATGTTCATTTATTCGGTGGTAGGGTAATAAAACTAAAGCTGAAGTTAAAAAGTTTCTGATCGGGTATAGGTGGGCACGTATTGGTTCAAACATTAACGTTGAAACTGTAACAATAAAACCGAAATCACCATGATTCAGGGAATCGAGAATCAGAATAAAATATTTTTCATGCGTATAAATCGAATTGTTGGCCCAGCTATGTTTGCAGTTAATCCATCGAACCGATAATGTACTAATTGACATTAATAAAATAAGAAAATCTGTAAAACTTTCATTGTATTGTCCAATTCCACGCATTGAGGTTACTCCACGTTCCATTTTATCAAGAACCTTTTGGTGCAAAAAGAATATAAAAAATAAATACTTATTTAAAGCTTATATTTATAAAAAAGGAAAAATAATTGAATCGTTCGAAGATGGGTTGTAAGAATACAATTCTCCAAGAAGTATTTCTATGAATACTTGAATATTAACAGCATTCACGAATCTATCACCACTAGACCATCACTACTGCAACTCTTCTGCTATCACTATTAATTTATCTCTAATTTTTTCAAAAAAACAATCTTGCAATAATAGTATGGGATTCGTGAGTAAAAATGTAAAGAAAATGGGCAAGTCTCATTATATTAATTATTGGAATCAATAAATAAATGCGACCGTTCTTTTGTATTTAATCGCAGATTCGATTAGGAGGAGGGTGCATTGAAGTTCGTGTTCGAACATAGTGTTGAATATCTTGAAAAAACATTTTGATGGGATGAAAAGTTTCATGGAGGCTTAAGTCCTTCAAGTAATTATCGTCTTTCAGCATATCAATTAAATTATTGCTAAAAAAAACATGTTCTCTCTCTTTGAATTGTCACAGTTAAAAAGAGGAAACCTAATAATAAAAGACAATAATTAATGAAAAAGAATGCGCAAAGCATGTCAAAATTTCTTATAAATATTGATTAATAAATCACGTAATTTGACGGCACTTTATTTCAGATACCTCCTTTGTAATTATCCCCACCGCATATATTAAGTTCTCCTACGAGTAAATCTCATTGAAATAAATATATATTATAATATACTTTTATGAATTACGCAAAAATTTCGTTAAAGGATAATACCTACTTCTTCATTCAAAGTTTCAATGTGCGCATTGATGTTTAATAAACATAAAGAAAAAATTTTTTTCAACACTTCATTGTGATAAATTCTTCTATTCTCCTACAGTTTCTGAAACGGAAATATAGAAATAGCACCAATACAGCAAAGTAAATCTGTACGGGAATATTTTTTTCAAAAAGAAGATTGCTTATTTATTTTTTTTTTTTTTATCTTGAAAAAATTTCCATTTTTTTTCCTTGAAGAGGAATTGTACATATAATACAATATCCTCAACATCATTGAAATTAATTCTCGAGAGAAAATATTTAAATTATAAAAAAAGTCGTGTAACAATGATGACACAATTTATATTTTTTTATAAAAAAGGGGAAAAATATAAATAACTTTCATAAATAGGTACCACTATAGGGGGATAATTATATTCTAAAACGCGCTAGGTAAATGGTTGTTTACCAAAATTATCAAACAAAATAAAGCTTTTTGGGGAATGAACGATCATCACTTTACGAATTTATGAAAAATACATTTTTTTTTTTTCGATAGAAAACCTTTTATAGATAGATATTATATGGATTGACAATATTTTTTTTTCTTTTTTTTTTTTCTTTTGATCTTTTTCAAAAACATTTATGAATCCTTTTAACTAGAAATAAAGTTCCATTTAAAATGATGAAATCGATATTAATATTCTTGATTCTTTTATTCTCCTACATAAATTTAACTCTTGCTCAAACCAGGTTAACGGTATTAAGCAATTTTAATTTGACAACGACGTGTGAAACATTCATAACATCTCTAATTAACGACGAGGACATCAATGAATGTTTACCAATATACACGATCATAATAAGTGTTCCGCCACTTCTACCTACATATCCTACAAAAAATTCAAAAGATAAGCTTGATATCTTTGCGCAATTAGTAAGTCAAACGTGTCAATTGCCAAAATGCCACCCTTCCTTGACTCAAAATACCGCATTAAAATTACAAGAAGATTGTTCCCAAGATTTAATGCAACAAAATATAATGGTTACATTGAATTGGATATTATTTTCTCATTATAAACCTATACAAGAACTGATTTGTAAAAGGAATAGTTCAAGTCAATTCAATTCTTATTGTATTTTAGAAACGTTAACAAATATTGCAAATCAAGAAAATTCGATTGATTCGACCGTATCATTTGAAGTGAATAAAAACCATAATCACACATTAGATATAAGACATAAAAAAAAATTACATAAACATAAGAATAAAAATATTTGTACTCGTACATTATTAAAAGAGATACCTAAACCCACAACAACTATTACTTCAACCCTTTCACCTCCAACAATTACAACAAGTACAAAAGAAAAAAGCGCAGATAATGATGATGATAAGGAGGGAAGTTCGCCTCCAACGACACCGGAGGACGATTCTTCATTTTTTAAAACCTTGGAGACATTACCCGATTCATTAATTTGTACCGATTGTAATAAGGTATGAAATCAGGAACATTTGATTTATTATTAAGCCTCCCTTTCTAATCATTTCTCTCTTATTATCTTAGGCCATGATGTCAGTTGCAATAAATTATCTCAAAGAAAATCCGACGGTATTAACGGTGATAAATGTGAATGAAACTCAAATACAACGAGCTTCTCTAATCCTTGAATTAAAATGTGGTAATTCGTTCTTGGATGGTACGACTCCCAACTTAATTTCTGATTCTTCTAAATTATCACACTCGTATTTTTATAACTTCATTGTAGCAATCATAATGTTACTATTTTTATAATATATGTTTATTATTAATATAATATGGATCCAATTAGAACAGAATAATTAGTTATCATAAATGTTTATTAGCAAACTGTAAAATTTCTCGCATTGAAATTTCTTGAAATCCAATAAAATGTTTTGGTAGTAACCTTTATTAGAAATTTTCCCGGTCTTGCCTGATTGGTTATAATAAATATTTTGAATTATAACTGCTGACGCAGCATGGCTGAACACGTCTCTATCGTTAAGAAAAACAAATTTGGTTCTCCACATGGGCTTTATGCAAATTTTTTAATTCTCCACAAAGCTCGCGTGGGTCACTTATCATGTAAGGTAAAAAAAAAAAAAAAATGAAAATTTTCTTTCTAGAAATTATGTAACATTTAAAGTATAAATAAAGTAGCCAAATAAAGAATGTTATTTATTATTTTATTTATAAGGGGATCGCAGTAGAAGATCCGAAAAAAATATTTTCTTTGAGACATCTAAAAAGGTAAATAAATTTTTTTTTGTCGTTGCTTATTCAACAATTTGTTTGTTCAAATATCATATCATTTATGCATGATTATCTAATACGAACCCTCCGAGTTCTCCGTCTATCTTAATTGAATCAACTCTGTATTACTTGGATACATTTAATGTGATGTAAAAAGATTGTCTTAAGTACAAATTTAAGGTTTATTTACAAATGGACGGATTGTCGCTGAAGTAATCGCATTTCAAAAACACGAGAATGGAGTCAGTTGACGAATTTCTTACTGTAAAAGCCAGTTTTTTAAGTTTTTCTTTGTCATTGATTTCATTTTCAACCAGCTTATCATGCAAATAGATGCGCGTCTTGCTGAATCTATAGAAATGAACGTATATATTTGTAAAGGAGATAAAAAAAATTCTCTGACATCTAAGGAGAATCAATGTCTATTAATGTACGCCCTTATCTTGATATTTTTAACCAATATATTTACTTTGGAATTTACTGTAAACTAAACAATGAAAAAAATGGACCGTATCTGTTTGTAATACATTACTTACATCTATAGACACGTATTATCAATTTATCTAATTTTTTTTTTTTTTTTTTTTTTTTTAATATATACATGTATATTTTCATGTTTATTGTTCTGATAAAAAAAGAAAATTTTAAGTTAAATATTGTTTTGATCAATAAAAATACGTACTCCTTGCATTACCGTGGATTCCAGTCTTCTGTTTGTTCTTTTTGTACATATCTCCGTATTTCCATTTCATAACATCCGTTTATGTGTTCATAATAAATTTTTTTTTATATAAAAGATAAAACCCTTTTTTCCTGTGGGTTTATTGAAAAAAAATGACTGTTGCACTAAAAAAAGTAACCATTAACAAGCATGAAATCACGTGGCCGAAATCCCCAGCTATCATTGAGGAGAAGGGTTTCTTAGGAAAAACATACAAAGTACAATATAAGGGAATTGATGCCGTAATTAGATCAAGCAAGGTGAAGGAAATTTATGTGATTCAATTTAGCTCATCTTTTTTTTTTTTTTTTTTTTTTTTTTTTTCTAAAACCTTTCTCTATTTCTAATTTAGGATGATTTGGATGCGATCTTGGAAGAATTTCATGTTCATTATAAACTTCGAGAACATGAAAATATATTAAAATTCTATGGCATAATTATAAAGGCAGATAGGATAGCTTTGATTTATGAATATGCGGCTCATGGAAAATTATCATCATTTCTTAAAGATAATTCCTTATTAGGATGGGACATCAAATCAAAAATATGTCATGACATAACATTAGCATTATTTCATTGTCATGAATTAAATATAAGCAATTTTAATTTGAAGTTGGACAATATTTATTTGACTAGTGATTGGACGGCTAAAATAGCCGGCTTTAACAAAGATAATGATAAAAGAAAAAGTCGAGAGAGTTTGAATTCTCCCTCACCTGATAGCTCGATGCATTGGGTTGCTCCTGAAGCTGTCTCTCTTGATCAAGACATGAGATTATCCTTTGAAAGGTAGGTGCGGTACTGCGGACGCATGAAGATCTCTAATGTCACGCGCTAATCACATCATCGCATTCTTTGTTATATAGGCATCCGAAATTAGCCGACATTTATTGTTTGGGTCTAATATTTTGGGCAAGTGCGTGGAGTTTAATCTTTATAATCTAGATGCGTTTATCATGGGATTAAATTTTTTTTCTTTTTAGTTGCAATGAATGGACAAATCCCTTATGAAGAAAAATCGAACATAATAGAAGAGAAGCAACAACGTAATGCAAATGAACTTTTACGAAATCATTTACCAAAATCGATTCCATCGGAATTCTCGAATTTAATTTTTAAGATGACAAAATTCACCCCAAGGCAAAGGCCTAACTTACTTATGATACTTTGTGCCTTGGAAGGATTATACGATTTTGATAACCCGCAAGAATACTTATCAGAATCAAGTTCAAAAGGTTTTGATGTCGAAAGTGATGTATCCGAGAATTTGATCTCAAATCAAATTGAAAACGTCAGTCAAGCGAGTCAATTTTATGCCGGTTCGATTAAAGTCAAGAAATCTACAAGTTACAATTCGATGAATTCATTAATGAATAATAGTGATAGCAACATCATAATCCATCAAGAATATCAATTTTCGGAAACCGAAATAGATTTATTAGAAAAGGTTACCTCAATATATTTGGAAGCGGAAAAGTTGGGATTCGATTGGCTCATAAAAAATCTTAAAAGTTGGATTGCAATCGAGAAAATGAATCCAAGAACAATTTTTGATTTGATGAATTTAGATTTAAATCAACCATATAATAGATGTATCATAGGATATTTTTATGAGGAAGGTTTTGGTACCTTACGAGATACAAAACAAGCTTACAAGTATTATAAGAAAGCGGCGGAAGAAGGTGATCATTATGCTCAAAATCATTTGGCTTTATGTTATCAAGATGGTATTGGTGTAGAAAGAGATAGTCTTAAAGCATTTGATTGGTTTACCGAATCTGCTTCCGGTGGCAACGTTTCTGCTCAAAATAATCTTGCCATGTGTTATGATTATGGCAAAGGTACCGGTCCAAATCGTGTCAAGGCATTTACTTTATATAAATCTGCTGCTGAAGGAGGCAACGTCATGGCTCAATATTATCTTTCATTATGTTACGAGGGTGGTTATGGTACTAGCATAGATAAAAAAAACGGCTTGGAAATGGTTAGAAATTGCAGCTAAAAAATGGTAATTTGGCTGCCAATGAAACTTTAAAGGCAAGAAGAAAAAAAAATCAAAACTGGTTTACTAAAGGAAATTTATTTTCCAAGAGAAATGTAAGTTTACTTTTTTCTTTTAAAAAAAATAAATAAATAAATAAAAGTTGTACAAAAGTGTATTTTATTAACTTTATTTTTATTTTTAGTCAAAAAGATAAGGATTACTTGCGACATGGCAAATCAACCGGGGTTGATTTGCTTGGTTATTTTGGCGAATAAAACTAATTTCACCTTTGTACCTACTTGACGATTTCCGAAACTATTTCGCGTTTCACACTTGTTTCGAACTGGTTTCACTTTGATCCGAAACCCTCCGAATTACTTCAAACTCATTTCACCATGCATATTATAATCATTTAATCATAGATAACTAATTTTCTCCCAGGTGGGGAAAATTATGATGTAATAACTATTCCTCTTGTATATATACAGTATATGAAATTTCAATCAATTATAAAAAAGAAAACCCACGCATTTCATCACGTCTTATCAGAAACAAATTATTTTGAAATTTAACCTTATTATGAAAGTTATTTAAATGAAACATTGAAATATTAATTACGCGTATTATGCAAATGAAAATTCATGTACCAGTTAAATTTTGCAAAATTTTTAATTAAATGCCACAGTATGATTCGAACGTGATCAGTAATAACTAATTAAGTAAAATTACCCATCTTAATATAATGCTTTTCTTTGTACGAATTTAAAAAATCTATCTTATTTTAGGGGTTGAGACTTTTTTATTGTCTCAAATCGGCTTTGATAAATTTCTTAAATTCTTTAAACTTAATAAATAGTGTGATGATTCGTAAAGATAAAATAGGGTTCCTCGTTCAGAAACCTCGCATTTGAGATAGAAAAAGTGTCACCACTCGTTTATCATGAATTTTGTTTAAGAATTTAAAGGTTTGACGGTATAAAAAAAATAATTACTCAAGTGCAGATGACACGAAATAAGGTTATTATCTGAGGGTTGTTAGTCCGATCTAAAAACGAAAGAATCATATCTAAGATACGGTTTAATTAGGAACTTTTCCCAAACAAATTATGAATGATTTTATCCTTGAGTGTCATACTAGAAAAGTAAGTCGCTTATTGTATACAGGGTCAATTGCCGTTTAAAATACATACGTAGTTCTCTACCGGTGGATTGATTCAGAGAACACGAAGAAATGTACCGCAGCGGCTGTTATGATATGAGTAGTGAAGAGGAGCTGATGAGAATATCAATGTAGAGAATATAGACGACAACAGCGGAGAGTTTTAGGGTTAGTCTTGTTAAAGGAACCTTAGCTAACTTGGGATTCGAATCTCAATCGAGAGGAAGCAATTGCATTTGTTAGAACACGAGTCAGATCTATTTTCCGGAAGGTCCATGCTCTCATTCATGGATCACAAATAAAAGATAATTAAGAAGTTGCGACTATCTAAAAATGTCATTTTAATATGGTCTTAATTAAAGGTTGCAAATACTTAAACGATTAAGGTGTTTTTTTTTTATGAGAATGCATCGGGGAATTTCGGTCTCCATTATTCGTCGGAAAACTATTACTCGTCACTAGGAAAATTTAAAGAATCATTCGTTCAACGAACTTTTTTTATTTGTGAAACCAGAGAACATATTTACAGGAATTAGTTCAACGGTGCTTAAACCCCAAAAGCTAATGTATCACGTTATTTATGTTAACAAATGTTTTTGGGGAGATAAAAACAATGAATTCTATTAATTAAAACTTTTGATTTTAGCGCACTATATTGGTTGCGCACTCCAATTGAAAGGGAGAACGTCTTTGACGTGACTTAAATGATCCTATAATATATATATTCAAAATAGCAGAACTTATCTACAAATTTACAAACCGGAAGTTGACCAACGTGAAATTCCTAATAGGATATATCTCTTCTTTCGTTTATTATTATTATAAAATAAATCATCAAATTAACCTTCATCATCAAGAACTTGGTATTCACTATACATTTCTTGTCTTCATTATCCAAGAAACGACGTCTTTGTTAAATCGGGGACCTATCATTTAGTCAAAACAAAAGTCTTGACTGTTATGATTCTCAAATTCTTCATAAATTATTCCATCACGATTCCTCAAATTAAATCATATAATAAAGTTGAAAGCCAACGATTTTATGATCAGAGAATGCTCGGCAAAAGTATAATAATAAATTTCACATGCAGTATTAGGGTAGAGGTTGCGAATAAGTTACATTTGATGAATTTGAAGAGGCATTCCATGGGTTGCAAACGACTTTGTATTTCAAGTAGTTCTTTTCATTCATTATAACGTCTTAATCAACCTTGTTGCTAAAGAGCCATTTCAGGAGCAACAACAGATCAACACAAGGTCGCAGTGGTGTTTATTTTCTATGCCCTGTGACCACTATATCATTGAGTTGATTTTGCAGTGTTGATGATGCTTATGATGATTGTTTTTTGCTTTCCATAATGAGACCAATCAATTCTTGACGAATATTATTGTGTTTACATAAGCAAATATGCGAACAATCACTTCGTATTATCATTGAATTTATCACATGTTTATCGGACGTGAATGGACCGTAAAGTATTGATTAGACCTTTATGTGCAAAAAAATTTTGTATTTATCATTATTTGATTATTTAAAAACAACGTACACGCACACCATTTGTTGTTTTCTCTTTGCCTTTGACTTTAAGGCAATTTTAGCACATTTAAAACTATTATATAAACCATATGAAAAAAAAAAAAAAAAAAAGACTATTAGAACCTCCTATATGCTTACCTAATACATCATTTTAATTCATTGTTTTTGGTGCAGGTCAATGAAACATGTAACGTTGTTCAAACGTTAGTTCCTAAACATGATTTTGGATCTACCTCTGGGAATCTAGTTTATGCGCACCCGATTCCTTTACATATCAACCGAGAATTGATTTTATCTAAGTTGTCTGTTAAATATATGGTTGTGTAATTGAATAAATGATTTTCTAGAAAATTACCAAATGGTATATAATTATTTTAATTTTGCGGACGTCGCTTGATAAGGTAATTATTTGTTTTTTGTAGAAAATTAAACCCGAAGATGTGGCTGATTACACGAGATGAGGAAAAAAAATAAAAAAAATAAAGTGATCTAATACGCCCAAGACTATTCCTATTGTATTCTGTATTGTAAATCACTCATGATTAATTAATCATTTAATTGGAATTGTTTGTTATCTCTTGTTAAAAAATGTATAACAAGTAAAAAATTTTTTTACGTGTCGTGACCGAAAAACATCCACTCGGTAAAACATTTTCCAATTTAGACGATTAAAGTAAAAATTTACCTAAACGTTTGATATTATTTCGATCATCAGATTGTCAAGAAAAATGACGAGATGATGAGGTATTCAAAATCGAATAAAAATAATAATAAAAATCAAAAAGTTACGGCACCCAGTATTCCCACGTTGTCCCCAACCGTAGTACTGACTGGGCCATCAGTGGCTTAACTTCGGAGATCGGACGGGTTCCGGTGCTTTTCACTGTGTATGGCCGTAACTGAATGAAAATTCAATTTTTGCTTATTTGAAGTATATTACAAATCCATTTAATTTGTTGAAAAATGATATGATTTATTACTTTCTATTTTTGGCGATCGTTATGATTTTTTCTTTAGCGCTAAAATTTAAAGTTTGCGAACATCAATTGAAAAAAAAAAGTCTTGGCATTCCCGCTTATGTAACACAAATGTGTTCTTTTTTGGGTCTACAAATTATTTTTTCACGAATTAAGGTTTGCTCATTCTAAATCCATTTGCCCAAATTAGATAATAACTTCTTTTTTAGATAGAGTAAGAGAAAAAAATAAAGATTTTGTCTTCATCCAATCATCCAATCATTGAATCAAATGATGATGAGATATGACCTTTATGGTATGGAATTGTCTTTGTACAACCACGCGATTTTCCGCGTCATTTTCATTATACATTTTGTTTGACAAAAAAAACGTTACATTTCAATAGTTAAATGATGATATTTTATTTTATTTTATTTTTTTTTTATATAATATATTTTAAAATAATATATTGATACAGCAACAATAAAAAATTCGAGTTAATAATGATAAGACATAATGATAATAAAAAAAAAATTAAAGGTTGCTTAATTAAAGGTAAAACGAAAATTCTTAATTCAAATTCTTATAATAATCGAAACTTATTTTGGATCTTAGAAAACACATATATATGTGTGCATAAAATAAATACACACACATATATAATCTTAATGTAAATTAATCAAATAAAAATAAAATCTTAAAAAATAAAGAAATAATAGAATAATGGAATAATAAAATAAAATAAAAAATCATTAAAATAAAGTTCCGGTTATTTGACCATTTACGTTCAAGTTATTCACATCGTTATTAATGAACGGAATGTTGTTATAAAACATCTGATAGTGCCAAGCGTACATGGATTGCTTATAAGACACAATGGGATGTAATATGGAAAAGGTAGACGTTACATTTGGACGTTTAAAGATCTCTTCAGTTGAGGTTGATGATGATTCCCCATCTGAATATGCAAGCACTTCAGAAACGAGACTTTGAGTCCAAATTAAATCACGACCATTGGTTGCAAATAAATAACTATCGACGTCAGCCATAGTGAATGCGAAAGAGGGTGATAAAAGTTGGCATTCATCGATAGTATTTTGGTTAGGACAAATTGTTGTTGAGTGGGAAATGTCCAAAGGTTGGATGAAGTGATTTTTAGGTACTGTTGGAAGAGGTTGAGATGGTTTCGGTGCATTTGTATTGTTTGATTGTTTCTTTCGTGAAGATTTTGACGTAGAATTCACCCTTGCCTTTGGAGTTCGTGAGTTGGAATTGTTTATTCGCCATTTACGTCGTGAAAAAGACAGAGCTTTTTGACGGGTTGTCGTTAACATGGTTTTAGCTTCTCCAGCAATCCGCCAGTATTCATTTTTGACATATTCGGGTTCACGCTTCCAAGATGCGGATGCCATGGAGGACACATCCGTCATTTTAAAAGCGTAATTTTGTGCCTGTAATTCTTTAACATAGACCCTACGATAGATCAAGAACGCGTTGGGCGCTCTGGATGGTACCTCTCCATCTTTTTTCTGGCCCACTAAATCCTCTGGATTAATCGGAGGGGGAAATGGTATTATGATCGAAGGGATTGGAACCGTTTCATGTGCGGTTGTATTTGCGGAT